CCCCAAAACCCCAAAACCCCAAAACCCCAAAACCCCAAAACCCCTGTATCATTAAATTTTATTGACATATTTTTATGATCTTAATGCAAAATAGGATACCTGATATTACCTCTACTATGAGGAGCCTTCATCTTTGACTTTCATACTGTAGCTTCCAGAGAACCCAAAGGAGTATTCATCCTTCTTTTTTGCTTTACCTCCATTATCCTCTTGACTAGCTACATCAATAATACTCTTGATTTCTGTTTTGGGTAACGCCTTTACCTTGAAATCATTATTTGAGTCTAGCTCGTCAAATTCATACCCGTCGTAATCTTGGGAGGAGGAGTCTGAGTCAGATTCTATGTCAAGTCTTGTCTGAGGGAGGAAAATGGAGCAATCAAAGCTCTCACTTCTCTTCCTCCTACTCCTTCTTCTAACCTTTCTTATAGAGTTTTTGATGAGGGCTCTTGCAGCTATATTGATCATCAGAGTAACCTTACCTTGGCCTTCTTTGCTAGGACATTTGAACTTAAGCTGACTGGGAAACACCTGCTCCTTATTCTTCACCTTGAGGGATTTGGACCTAATATAGCTCTCCTTAGCTTTGAGTAGCATCTCTTCAGCATCAATGTCATATTTCTTCTGTAGCTTGAGGAAATTTCGCAAGTTCATGTTCTCTAGTTGGAGGGAATAAATCTGACTGTCAGACTCTTCGTTTATAAACACATTGCTCCATAAAGTCTGCTTGATGGCAACGATTGCATTGAGAAGTTTCTTGTTGAGATTCTTATTGACTTTCTCAGTTTTGGTTCTTTCTTTCTCCATTTCTTTGATTTTCGCGTTATGTTTCTCCTCTTGTAAGAGTTTCTCAGTTTTCAGATTTTCAATCTCTTTCTGAGCTTCTTTTAGTTTCTGAGCAAGCTTCATCGCACAAGACTTGAGAACTGTAATTTCTTCTCAATTTGCTGTATTGTTATCGATCTCTTGAACAGTGCAGACTTCTGAAATATCATGAGACAAAGAGATGTCCAGCTTTTGGATAGTTTCAGGATTCTCATCTCTTTCAAAGTCAGCATCATCCGTTTTTCCTGAGAAAATGGTATCTCCAAGATCTTGGGTTTGAAGGAGATTCCTATTTCGTATTGGCGATAGAGCATTTTGATCCATCGTGGCAGGCTTGACTCTTATCACATCAGGAGTTTGGAACTCCTTATTACTAGCTCTTAGCACTTTTATACCTGATATAGGCTCCATCGTTGCATTACTTCTAATTTTGCTATGTGTTTTATCCAAAATTCTTTCCTTCAGCTCATTATTTTGTTTATTTTATAGAGTTGAGAATTTCTCCAAGGTCCCCTTCTATCTCATCATCAAGTTCAGTTAGTTGATGAGAAGGCACATTATCACTGAAGTGAGAAGGACAGCTTGGGTTCTCAGAGAAGAAATGAACAAATTTTGCCTCATTATTTACATTTGGGAATCTTCCCTCTATGTTTACTAGGGGCTGATGCTGAGTGTTGTTATCTAACGGTGCAGCCTTCTCAACTACAGGAGTAGGAGACCTATTATTTCCCTTCTTAAATGCTGATTCAGTAATCTTTTTATCAATATTAAAAATTCTTGATTTTGAGAAGCTGCCTCTTGAACTAGAGACTTTCTCTGAATGATTCCGGACTTTTCTTCCAGATTTTGGCTTCTTTTGTTTCTTCACTGGAGTTGGCTTAGGCTTCACAGGTTGGATCTTTTCTTTAGCCAGTTTTGTACTGTACAACCGCTCATGAACACTCATTTTAGGCTTGGATAGAGAATTCGGCAACTTAGAAATAGCTGTTTTCTTCTCATTTTTATGATTGACTTTCTTCACTATTGCATTTTTCTTTGGTCCATTGATTATCCGAGTGACACCTTTATACTTAGACTGTTTAGGCTGGATCCTAGAAGAAGGGCCATCCTCTGATTTCTCTCTAAATCGGCATATTTTGACAGACTGTTATATTTAAGTTATCTAAGAAGGATTACTACATACTATTACCTGCTGCTTTAGAGCATGTGAGGGCTATAAACTTATTCACTCGGAGACTTACTGGTTTCAGGGGCTCATTTCTGATACCCATTAGTGAGCTTATGTTCTTCTGTAGCCATTGCTAAAATTTATTATCGCAAATTATATATTACAAGGGGTTTTGGGGTTTTGGGGTTTTGGGG